TACATATTCTATTCACACGAATCTATCCTAAAATTCTTGTCGGCATTAAATAACCCACTGAGGTTGATATACCGTAAAACAAAATAAACCAAACAAAACCATGCTCGTTCTTCTTCTTCTATATATTGTGTCCCTTCAGGATGTGAGTGATCATGGTTCTCCACAATTTCCTGCTCTTTTTTGCTCTTAATAAATTTTGGCTTTTTGTTATCTCTCCTAAACCCTGTTCTGTCATCGATTTACTCAGTCTCGTTCTTCATCTCTGTGCCGTGTCCAAGGCGATCCATAAGTCAGTTCTCGAAATCGACCGGAGGGGGGTGCGAACGATTAACACGAAAGTTCGTTGTCGGAAATGGATTAAGAAATTCATTTTCTTTTTAAAGAAATTGCTAAGTTTTAGCTTTGGATTAACTTAAGTATATTATTTTAGATACTGATAAGTATAAGTATAATGCTTATTTTATTTCAACTTTGCGTATTTTATCTTTAAACAAACTTTTTTGATGTTAAATTCACAAGTGCCATTAAGAATTTTTCGCATAAAGTTAATATAAATTTAATATTTTTCTTCAACAATGACGATATTGAGTATAAAATTAATTTTTTTTAGGAATAATTTATGTTTTTCTTTAACTTAACAGGTATTTAAAAAAAGTATGTTGAATTTTTCTGTCCTTCGTAAATATATAGATGACATTAAAATAAAAATGTAATGTTTTTCACTGTAAAATTAACGAAAAATGGTACTTATTAAATAATCTATCACATAAGTTAATGTCAAAAATTAAATTCAATAAAACATTTTACAACTCTTCTTAAAAATTTACCGCAAAGATGTAAAAGAGGCGACATAGTCATCATCTTTTTTTACTTTTTTGCGATTTTTTTAAGCAGCAAAATTCTCAAAAAATGTTGTACAGGACCGTGTGTGTATTTACGTGTTGTTGTATTAGAAAGACGTGTGTAACTCCTGGTAGAATATTAAAAGGTCCAACTACAAGAAAATTGGCAGACTTAATTTGTCCAACCGAAGATGAAAGAAGACAAACAAGACATATATATATATATATATATATATATATATATATATATATATATATATATATATATATATCAACAAGTATGTATTAAACAAATTACAAGTCACATAGACATAGCATTTCTGTGTATGGAAACATTGTGTTTGTTCTTTGGTGAATGTTCGTATTTTGGTGAATGTTTGTAATGTTCATAGCGTTTTCCCTGAAATGGGAAACGCTGATCTTCTAAGAGCTTACATCTTGTCGCTGAAATGAAGAAGAAAGAGAGATGAGTTGGCACAATTTCTAGAAAAGGACAAAATCCACACCTTTGAAATTTGTATCAGAATATTGATCAACAGGATTTTGTGTCAGCAGTTACATGGAATAAATCAATCAGTTGTTTATCCAATCTTGTACTTACTTTTTAATTATGTCCACCTCTTTAAAAATATTCGGAATAATTGGATTACTGAACTTACTTCTGAATTATTGTTTTATTCTGAAGGCAAAAAAGATGAAAGCAAATAGAAAAATTGTAAAAGGTCTTTTTGAGTATGTTTATTTGTTAAGCTGTCGAAACTAACTAATGTAGAAGTTTATCCAAAATCGGTTGAACAACAGAATGTTTTCCCATTGTTTAAAAGTTGCTTTGTGATTAAACTGTAGTTGCCATTAAAACACAACCATTATTAAATGGGGAGGATACTGCAGAAACAGTTAATTTCATTGAAAGATTTTTTAAATTTTGGATAAATGTCTCTGTCAAAGAAATATATGTTGGCACTAAGAAAAATGATCTGAAAAAAGTGATATCAGATTTATCTAGGGAACAACAGTTATTTCTTTCTAATTTTAGGAAAATGACAAAAAGAATAGAAGGAAAGCAAGGAAAAATGATGAAATCCTTAACAAGAGAAAATTAAGACAAAATTCTGGAGATGCATATTTTATAACAGTTCAAAATGTTATTGAAACATTTCATATTGAAAAAACAAAACGACTTAAATTAAATGTTAATGTCAAAGAATATAACTTTCATCCAGGCCAGAATTTCTGAAAATGAGGAAATTTGCTAGAGGAAATGGAATCCCAAACATTTGGTAACTTACCAGACCTTGAAACTAGGATTCCTAAAGATATCAAAATATCATTTATGTGTATAGCAAGCTATGTTACAAGAAAAGACTGACCCACAGTAGAGTAAATATTTAATAATACTAATTTTTATTTTCAAGAATATGGACATTTTTTGAAAGAAATAGAGGTAATTTAAAAATTCGACTTGATGCCACAGTTCAGTGGGCGTTTTTTTCTATTTTATAATTTTTGATGTTGCTAAATTGAAGATTTGTCGAATTTCTTTGACAAAAAATTTTGTTAGTTTCTGATATGTAACATTTCAATACGAAAAGAAAGCAAGGAATTATATTGTCAAATATATTTTTCAAAAATTATTGCTTGTTTGATTCACCTAAGACAACTCACGAACCGACACTAAAAGTTTTGAAATTACTTTCAAATTTTATTTATATGATAAAAGTATTTATACAATTCTCTTTATACAATTTTCTTTAATTCACAGTCAGTATTAAAATTTCATATTGTTTCAAGTAGTAACAATATGTACATACTTATTCATTCAGAGAAATATTTAGCACATATGTTTTATTTTCAATTTCCCCAATTTTTACATATATTTAATTGGTTAACTCCCCAAATTACCTTATTAAATAATTTTGTGTTCTTGTTAATGTAAACTGATTTTAATTATTAAAACTATGTAGACCGGCCGTATAAATTATTGTATCATAGTGAAATAAATATTTTCTTCATATACTGTGAAACAAATTGTACATGTAACAGAAATCTAAAATAATTTTGTAAAAATTTTCAAAATTACTGTTTCTCTGAAATTAACAATTTTGTAAAGTATTTTCAAACTTTGTGGGTAGACAATTTTAAAAAAAATCTGAAATTGCTTTCTGATCGTATTATACAACTTTATATTTTCTGTAATCAATTAGTATAAACAAATTAACTAATTATTTTCGCAATATCATCTAAAAATGTCTAATTTATGGCAAATAAAGTGATTTTTGTGTTCTTATGGTAGAAGGGGTTCTTTTGCTCTTTCTTTGTACATTAGCATTTATGGAAATACGTCAAGGCTGCTTTCTAATATTATGTATAGTTGCTAATTAACTAATTACTAGGCATTACTAATAAGTACCTTGCTAAAAACATTCTCAGTAATTGTTATTCAGTAGTAATTTAGGTATCCACATGTCCGCCGCCAGTCGTGGACCCCAGTTGTATAGTTGCCAGGCCTGAGTTATGGATCGGCTTAGCCGTGTCCCTTCAGGACGGAGGCAAGCATGACTCTCGAAAATTTCCTGTGTTTTATATCTCTTAATAAATTTTGTCTTTTTGTTATTATTCCTAAAAACTTGTTCCGACATCCATTGAGTCAAGATCGCCCTTCTGCTACGTGCTGCGTACCATCAAGACGGAGGCGATCATGATTCACTTGAATTTCGTGTCCTTTATATCTCTTAATAAATTTTGTCTTTTTCTTATTTCTCCTAAACAGTGTTCCACCACCCATTTACTAAAACTCGTTCTTCTTCTGTGTGCCGTGTCCTTTCAGAACGTAGACGATCATGGCTCTCCACAATTTTCTGTTAAATTTTCCAAGCTTTCTTTCCTCATTATGTGCTCTAGAAATTTCAACTTTTTCTTCCTGATGCTAAGAATAATTTTCATTTTTTTCCATTTTTTCTAAAACTTTATTTTTGCTCACATATTTGATCCAGGGTATCCTCAACATCCTTCTGTAGAACCACATTCACATGTCTTCTTCATCTTTGAAGAGACAGTACTGTATTCACTGCAATATGGAATGAAATATATCACTTATCAGTTCAGTACTCTTTTCTTTGTGTCTAACTTTGTTTCTAACGAAGTCTTTGTTTTTTATATTCTGCTTAACTTTTGGAAGGCATCTTTGTCTATCCTAAGGCGCCTTTGGTTTTTAGTCTCCGTCCTCTGTTTGAACACTTCCCAGATATTAAATTGTTGTACTTGTTTTGATTTTCGTATCTCCGATTTGTAATATTTTGGGCTCATCCTTTTGCTAACAACCATGCATTCTGTCTTCTAGAAGATGACACTTAGTCCTTTCTTCTCGCCTTCCTTTACTGCCTTCAGTAGGCTGCACTCGAGTATTAAAGAATGAAACCCTTTGCCAAGTACGTTTCTCTAAACTCTGCCTGGAATGAAAGTATCACTCTTTGGCTTTTGGAGTGGGATCACAGTGTAGTATCTGTCCACCCACCTTTATTATATCAGAGGAGGCGTCTGGTCCGGGAGAGTCCAACCTTAAGTCCAGTTGAAATCTTTTCGGCTGGCAGATCGAACTCTGTGCCTCTGAGCAGAGAGGAACTCAGACGAGGCTATGCGGGTTCTACGGGCATTTTTTGGCCGAGCCTACGGGCTCGGAGAACCCACGTTAAACCCGGCCTTGTGCCACATGCAACCCTCGTGGTGGGTGGATGAATATTCCAACCTCGCGGCAGCTCCTTTCTCGTTGCATTAAGAGAGGGGGAGCCGGTGTAATATCGACCCCATTGTAATAGTGGTCGCAGTGATTCGTCAATTTTTGTCTATGCCTCACATGTATACCTATGTGTTTGGTCTCCTCACGTAAAAACACACTTGTGCGACCTTACTGTCAAAATGCAGCTGATAACTGTATCAGACTACGGACTTATTGATCCACCAAGCGCGGACACATACACACACAGACAAGCACCTTTATATATATATATATATATATATATATATATATATATATATATATATATATGGCACTCACAGAAGAAGAGGGAAATACATTAACAGCTTTTAAAAAGAGAAGCAAATATAGGTTCGCGGCATATGGCGTTAATGGCTCTTCGCCCGGCTGTAAAACAATCCCAGAATCCCTTGCAAGTCACGGACCCGGAGAAGAAAAGAAGATTCTAATTTTGCAAACCGTGCCAAATGGAACCTCTTCTGTGAAGTTCTTTCTCCCGACTCTACTTTTTACTTCCTACACCCGTCCCTCCTCGCCAACGCCCATCTCCTTATTTCACACCACTTGAAGTAGGAGGAAATCGTAAAGGAGAAAGAAAAGAAGAAAAGTTGCACATCTGTTGATACAACATTGGCAGCAATCTGTTCTCGTTCACCTGCTTGTCAAGCCTGTAATCCAACCTGAACTTACGTGCAACTGCTTTGTCATCTTTATTTGCAGCCGAATTTACAAAAAACAAAAAACCACAAAAAACCACAAAAAACAAAACAATAAACATGCAAGGTGGAAACGCAGTTCATTTAGTAAATATACTTATTCACTTATATATGAAGAAAAAATAATATAAGCTTACGTCCGTCAGTTATCTATCTATCTATCTATCTATCTATCTATCTATCTATCTATCTATCTATCTATCTATCTATCTGAGCCTGTTCATTATCTATCACACGCTATTCATATCTATCTATTTATCTATCTATCTTGGGGGCCGTCGATAGCTGTGCTAGTACGGAATCACAAGTCATCGTGGCTGGGGGCTTGAGCGTGCTGGCCTTGTTTAAATTGTTGATCACGCTAGATAACACGCTCTTCCCCAGAAACTGTAACTAAGGTCTGCTCAGCATAGTTGCAGTATAAACCACAGGCGGGCTCTGTGGGCGTTAAATAAACACAAATGTGCCCGAGCAAGCGTCTGCAATAGGGATTGGTTAGCCGCAATGGTAGATGGGTATCCTCGAATACGAGTGGCCATCTATCTATCTATCTATCTATCTATCTATCTATCTATCTCATTCTGTTCATATCTATCTATTTACCTACCTACCTATCTCATTCTGTTAAGTGAATATAGCGAACCCAACTAGAATTGAAACACGGCTCTCCGATTAACAATTCCGAGCTAATATCCATTACTCCACCCGCACATTCAAGCTTACAGCAGCTGATATTCCCAAGCGGTCATCCATCTAAGTAATGACCAGTTTCAACGTTGCTTAACTTCTGTGAACAGACGAGAACTGGTGTTTGAATGTCATATGGCCATAAACTTCTATTACCCCCCCCCGCATATCCAAGCTTACAGCACTTGGTATTCTTAAGCAGTCACCCTTCGAGGTATTGCCCAGGTTCAACGTTGCTTAACTTTGGTGATCGGATGAAAAACCGGTTTCAACGTGATATGGCCGTAAGTTTTCATCAACCCCATGCACATTCCAGCTTACAGCATCTGGTATTACCAAGCGGTCACCCATCTAGGTATTGAACTGTCTCAGTGTTGCTTAACTTCAATGTGTAAGTAAAATTGTCTAGTGAAACAAATTTCCTAGCCCCAGACCTAGTAATTGATTTAATGCAGACAGGAAAGTAGGAGGCTGGAAGATAGCTCTACAAGCGAGAAGTGCGAGATAAGAAACTAGTTGTTACATTTATCAATTTTAACTGTAAAATGATGGGACCTAACTACCAATCTAGTAATGCGCTCAAATAAATTCCTCATCCTACGCAAGACAAGGAAATTGAAGTAGACCAGAACAAGAACAGAGTATTGCTGCAATCTGGGCGGATGTGGCCCAATCCTCACTGTACAGCCTCGACAGAGTTCAAAAGCAATTATTTTGCCTTGTGGGTAATGAAATATTCTTCACCTGAAACTCTTATCACACAGACAAAACGTTGCCAGCCTCTCACTACTCTATCCCTATGGCGCATGTTCAGACAAATTACATTCCTTAGTTCCACCATCTCAGGCATTAACAGCTAGGCCGTCCTGGCAATAAACTACATTCATGTCCTGAGTAAGACGATAAATTACGTCCAGCAGCAAGGCCTCTGATCAGGAGGTTTTGAGGAGAGTGGAACCACCTCTTAATTGCTGGTGTCTCCAGGTCCACCCTGACCCTGGATGGTAGCACCTGTTAGGGTCTCAGCTATGGGCAAGTAGTTAACCCCGAAACTGCCGTAAAAAGAATTATAAAAATGTAAAAATGGGTTTTAATACAGGAGATACCTTGTAAAAGGATTGTTACCAGGGATAAATTTTTGAAGAAAAAAAAAAAACTATTACCAGCAATACATTTTTGAAAAAAAATATTACCAGTAATACATGTTTTAAAATAATATTACCAGCTATACATTTTTGAGGAAAAAAATATCACCAGAAATAGATTTTTGACAAAACAAAATATTACCACGAAATAAAAGTTGTCTGCATTAAATAACTCAAATGAGTTTGATATGCCGTAAAACACAACAGACCAAACCAAACCATTAACAGCTAGGACCCACTGTTCAATATTTACGATGGTTAATCATCCCCATTCTTTTTGCGTTCGTTGGATAAGGAGCAAATTTCAATCAGACAACTTTTTCCCCGGAACTGTTAATTTGGTAGGGGAGGGGGAACTCCCGAGATGTTTCCCTGAAAACCACAATCTTGGTCACGTCATGTCCACGGCCAATCGATATCTATCTCACTCGTTCTCATAATATGCATTTCTTATTTCCACCTTCTTCTTCCCTTAAAATCTTACACATTAATTCTCCATCTTGAGTGACTGTTGCGTCTTGTATAGAGTGAAGTAACACTAACAAAAATTTCAAAAAAAATAATTTAAAGTTCGTTTGATAATTCCCGTTTTATTTGTGAGGTTGAAAGCTTTAAAAACAATTGATAGATATCAAGAACAGCAAATTTGAAGAATTTTACTGCCAGGTTCTGAATGGTGTCACTAAAAAACCAGAAAAGCGTAGTCAACATAAAAAAATAAATAAATCAGAAGTTGCTTTAAGAACTTTGCTTAACTGCGTTTTGGATGAAGCTAAAGTTCACCTGTAAAAAAAAGAAAAAAGATGTAAAACAATGCGAGAGTACGGATTTGTTCACTTGTTGAATCCGAAGATTTTTCACGCTTACGAATAAAAAAATTTCCAACAGAAGCGTTTTCCTATTTGGATATCTATAAAAATATTGGATTTGGATGAACTGAAATGCGAGCTGAAATCAATCTATATTGCTGATTTTATAAAATATGCGTAAAACATCCAAGACACCGCAGACAGAATACGGGAATTTGAATTAAACCACACTCTGTCAGAAGTAACAATATTACTACGTTTGATGCTTACCATAGCTACCATATCTGCTTTCTGTGAGAAATCTTTTTTTTTTTTTTAAATTAAAGCGAGTAAATAAGTATATGTGGTGTTCTCAAAGTGAAGACAGATTCAGTAATTTGGCCTTCATTTCTAAAGACATTTTGAAGAAGACGAAGGTAGACCGTGGTATTAATTCATTTTGTAGCGTTGTGATCAATGAATTTGCCAAAAAAAAAAAAAAAAAAGAAACGAAGAACTGAACTGATTTACAAATAAATTTAAAATATCTCATTATTTGTAGGTTTTATTATTTTCTGAGATTTCTCTCTTAAACAAAAACGGCCATCATAGCAGATCCGTCGCCAGGGTATTGCTAATGGGAGTACATTAAGTCCAGTGGAGAGGAGTAACAAGCCCAAAGCTTGGCCTGTTGGTAGGAGTGTATTTTCTCACATTAAAATTAGTTCATTCGTAGAACTTTGAATAATTTTCGGTGGGTGGATCTGTGGTTGGAGGGAGAGTAAAAGGACTACCGCTCTACTCTCCACTTTCCACCTTAGCGTTTGTTCTGCAGCATGTGCTACATGCTCTCGT